ATTGCCTGGGACGGCGACTCCCAGCGCATCATCGCCGTGGGCAATGGCCGCCAGAAGTTTGGCAAGGCCATCATGGCCGACAGCGGCAACTCGGTCGGCGAGATCATCGGCCACACCAAGTCCATCAACGCCGTGAGCATCACGCCGAAGCGTCCCCTGCGTGCAGTCACCGTCGGCGACGACCGCAACGTCAACTTCTACCACGGCGTTCCCTTTGAGTTCAAGAACGCCACGACCCTGCACAGCGGCTTCGTCCTGAGTGCCGTCTACTCGCCCGACGGCTCGACGTTCGTCACGGTCGGACAAGATAAGCGAATACAGCTGTACGATGGTGTCACGGGCGAGCCGCTCCGACAGATTGGTGAGGGCGAGCACACGGGCAGCATCTTTGGCGTCTCATGGACCCAAGACGGCAAGAAGTTTGCGACTGCCAGTGCGGATCAGACGATCAAGCTGTGGGATGTTGAGTCAGGCAGCGTCATTCAGACCTGGAAGTTTGGCGACGGAGTGAGCGTGCGTGACCACCAGGTCGGCGTGGTCATCCCCCACGGACGAACAGACGGCCTCATCATCAGCATCAACCTGGCGGGTGAGCTGACGTACCTGCAAGAGGGCAAGGACCTGCGGCGGATGAACGAGGACTTTAAGCGTCTGAGAGAGGACATGCTGCCGGCGCTGCGGCTGGTCAAGGATGTTCAGCACCCGCTGCCAAACGTCTCCGGACCCAGCCAACCATACGCATACGAGGCCACGCTGTCTCCGCCCGCGCCGACACCGCCAGGGGCCCAGCCCGGCGATCGAGGAGTCAAGCGGCAGTACTCACAGCGGCGGATCCTGATTGGAGCGACGCCCAAGAGTAGCTCGCCGACGCAAGCGACACACGACCAACGCATCATGTCAGAACAGACGCTCGACCCGTCCAGCGCGGCGGAGAGAGCTGTCATGTCGTCGTCGCACCTGGCTGCGATGAACGGAGGCAACCAACACGCCTCACAATCAGGATACCCTTCGCCAATCATACCATCACCGACCTCCCCTCAGAACCACATGAGCGCAGCGACCCTCGGCTCTCGAACGTACAACTCGACGGCCCCCTCCGTACGGACGACGTTTATCGAAGGCGACCTCGGCTACGGCTCGCGAGACAAGGCTGGGACCGGAGGGTCAATTCGACGCCGCGAGACGCCCGTGCCCGAGACGCCTAGTTCCAAGGACTCTGTAGAAATCTTCAAGTCCTTCCGGGTGAGCATGGACGATCCGTGCTACAAGGTGCTTCCGGCTGCGCTTAAGAAGTATCAGATCAACGCACCTTGGGACCAGTACGCGCTGTACATTGTCTACGGCGACCAGGAGCGCTGCCTCGGCATGGACGAGAAGCCCCTGATTCTGTTTAAGCAGCTGGATAAGGAAGGCAAGAAGCC